ACTGCAAGCTCCGTGATGAAACCTGCTGAGGGCTGCTGCCCCGCGCCCTCGTCTCGTGGGTGATTTTAATCTGCATCAATTCACCGTGATAAACTGTAACTGAAGTTTAACAGCATTTCTGAATTCTATGAGTTCTGGCAAACCATCAAACTTGAGGATGGTCTAAGGTAGCGGTCACCAACCTTTCGGACCTCACGGACCACCAGTGGTCCACAGATCACTGGCTGGCGACCGCTGGCTGTTCTAAGGGACCCCTGATTGCAGTTAGTGTCCAAAGTGAGGGTGATCGTGGGTGCTGCCCTAACTTCACACCACCCCACACAAGAAGAGGCATGGGGGCGGGGTATGAACTCATATTCTGGAAGAAACCATAGAGCCTGACTTCGCCACCTCCCAGATGACAGGCCAGGCGTGTCCCTAGCCCCAGGTCTTCTCGTGCTGCAGCCCAGGGATCAGCAGCACCAGAATCACAGGGCAGCTGGTCGTTCCGAGTGCAAACTATGGCCACCTCCCCCCAGGGGCCTGCTGAATCAGGAGGGGGAAAGCCAGGAGCCTTTGGAACTACGCATCCACCAGCAATTCTGATGCACACTCCTTTGGACAGCCACCCCTATAGCCTCCCCAGGCCTCAGTTTCCCAATCTGTAAAATGGGCACCATAGCCCAGGGCTGTGCTGTGAGGATTCTGTGCTAGGAATGTTTGTGAAGGAAGTGCTGAGCATGGTGCTGTCAATGGTGAGGGCGCCACCAGAAGGGTCCTCCTCATTATCACCTGGGAAACCCGCCCGGTGTGTGAAAATGAAAGAGCACGCCGTGAGCAGGCCCAGCATCTTCACATGTCAGTCCCCATCCTGTGCCGTGTGGGGACTGAGAGCTTGGGCTGATGGGTTTCAATCCCAGCTCCACCACTCCTTGGCCGGTGGCTTCGTCCAGTCACTGACCACCTCTGTGCCTGTTCCCCTCCCTCGGGAGCTGACAGCTCCCACCTCACAGAGCCAGGCTGAGGGAGGGGCGCAGTGGATGCAGCAGTACACAGTGAGGCAACAGGGTGCTAATTACTGTTGCTACGAGGATGATTAAGGCAGCCCGTCTCTGCAGGACAGAGTGGGCTTGGTAGGGCCCACGCCTGCTGGAGGCAGCCACCTCTCAGGACACGTCCCAGCCAGGCCTTGCTGGTGCAGAGGGATGGGGGGAATGCACAGAGTGGCCCAAAGGCTGCAATGTGTGGACCACTGTCATTTGCAGATGCAGAGGAGGTACCAGTGCATAATGGCAGCAGACGTTAAGCAGGCCTCTTTCCGAAGACCGGGTCCCTCCACTGTTGGCTGGGGACCCATGGAGAATGGCAGCCAGGCCCTGGGGTTTTCTGGGGGGAGTTGTCCCACTTGGGGGAAAGTTTTACATGTGTTCCTCTAGTACCACCTGCTTCCGCGGCTAATTTTAGCCCTTCTTGGGTCTGGGAGGCAGGCCGGGGGTGGAGGGTTGGCTCAGATGGGTCCAGGGGGTGGGAGCAGCCCCTCCTGGACCAGCTGGGACCATGGGGCAGGACCCAGATGGGCAGAGAACACGGGCACTGGGCAAGCAGAGGATACCAGCTGGCCAGAACAATGCCAAGGCCCTGGGCATGGCTGAACGAAGCCCCTCCCTGTGTGGCTCTCTAAGGTGGGGCTATACGATGGGGCACTGGGAAGCAGTGTCCACTGCCAGTGCCCTCCAGACAGGGCTGGGAGGGGTGGGCAGGGGGCGTGGCCCAGGCAAGGGCAAGGCCAAGGCCAAGGCCAGCAGGCCCCTTGCTCTGCCCTTGCCCGCCATGGGGACCAGAACTGAGAAACTGGTGAGGTGGGACGGGCACGCTCGGGGCACTAACTGTGGCATGCACAGGATCCCGGGGCCGGCGCAGGGCCGAGCTGAGTCATTAGTTGTTTTTAAATAGATGTCAATGGGGCATGCTTTTAATTAAGCCTCTTGCAGATGTAATCACAGGTACCACACACACGAGCCTCAGATCACCAGGCAGGCCTGTGCCGGTCCCAGGGTGCCACAGGCTGTACTCCAGGCTCTGGGACCCCTGGGTGTTGGAGGTGAGGGGCTAGGGCCCCCTCAGTGTTGTTGGCGGTGCGTCACCACCCAGCCTTGCTCTGGCCTGGTTCCTCTGAGGTGCGGGTGGGGTAGGGCTCTAACAAGTCGGTCACAGGTATTTCAGTGCTCCACCCACTCTCCCGGCCGAGTGGTGGAGGCGCGGCCCCAGCAGCACCTACCTTGGGTGGCCGAGGTGACCAGGACGGCGGTGATGCAGAGGCTCCACAGCACGGCGGCCAGGCGGGCCATGGCAGCGGCCGGGGGCGTTTTCGGAGCTCTCAGTGGCTTGTGCAGGGGTCCTTGCCCTGCATCACCAGGTGGGCACCACAGCCTGGCCCACCAGCCTGGGGAGGACAGGGAGAGTGAGGGGGGCCATCCCTCAGCGGGCTGTGGACAAGGGGCCCGTCCACATCCAGCACTTCCACCGGCAGAAGCCACATCCTCTGGCCAGAAGCTGCCGGGCTCACCCTGCTTTCACCCTGACCCCAGCAGACAGAACAGCCCCCTGGTGACAGGTGTTAGGATGGCACCAGACAGGCCTCAGACCCTACCTCCTGGGGAAAGGGACCCTCTGGAAGCCGCCTCCCCCGTTCTGAAATCCCGACCCTGCCCATCGGTCCTCCAGCCGAGCTTCCTCAGCCAGCAGAGCATCCAGGGTGGGGGACCAGGCATCCCGGCTCCACGTGCAGCCTCCCCCTCAGGATCATGGGCAGGAATCCAGGCCCGCCCCCAGCCCCCTACTTCCTGTCTCTCTCACTCTGGTAGCTGCTGGGACCACAAATTGGGGGCCAGGGACAACTGTTTCCAGGGGACGGGGGCGGGGGGGTAAGTTGGAGACAGGCAGGTGGGGAGGGGGGATGCAGCCCCCTCAGGGCCCGGGAGGGTAAGGAAGGGGTGAGGGTTGTGTGCCCTGCCCTATAGTGGCCCCCCCAACAGCGTTAGGTTCTGACCCTTTATTTCCTCCCTCACAGTCACTCCGTCCCACTTCTCGCTGCCTCGGTTTCCCGTGGATGCTCTTCAGGTTGCCTGCCCACATCTCCCTCGGCCCTTGGCTGTATCTACACCCAGTTTGCCACGTGTGGCCCGGGCCCAGCAGCACCAGCCTGGCCAGGAACTTGCTAGAAACACGTTCTCTGGGGAGGGCGAGCACCCGTGTTTTCAGCCGCCCTATGACGTATGAACCCCCGCTCCGTCCTCTCCCGCTGTCATCCCAGCCCCACAGTCTCAACACCATCAACCACCCAATACTTCCCCAGGCTCTTATTTCCAGTCTGGACTCTCTCAGCAGAGCCCAGCTCCTGTTTTCCCCAAACGAAAGCCTGCTGACTGACCCCGCTGCGTCTCTGACCCCTTCTCTGTGGCGCCACCCCTGCCTCCTGCGATCCCTCCACCTCACCACGCCCTGCCCAGGGCCTCCCTTCCTCTGCGTCTACCTTCTGCCCGCCTGCCCTCCACATGGCCACTCCCTCCCCTCCCTCACCTCCTGTGGGCCTTTGTTCACAAGTAATGATCTCCGAGCTCGTGCGGAATGGCCCTGCACAGGCAGGGATCGGTGGGTTGTTTCGCTCATCCCCACCCCCAGCTTCTAGCACAGGCCCGACACAGTGGCAAATATCTGTTTGCATCTCAGACCCAAACCTAAGAATCTGCCTCTTCCCTGCCCTTCATGAACTCCGTCAGCAATCCTGTGGGCTCTGCCTGCCAAGGGTCTCACCAATCCGCCCACTTCTGGCCCTCCAGGCCACCACCGGGAACAAGCCACTACCCTGACGCTCCGGACCTTGTCCTGGCCTCCTCCCCGCCTCCCCCTGCCCTCCACTCAGTGCTGAGGGATCATTTAATGACGCAGATCCCGCTGCTCTCCGCTGGGGTCTCCATTCCTCACCAGGGTCGAGGCTGGGCCACCAGGTTCTCCAACCTTCCGTTCCGACAGTGCTCCAGCCGCTTCTCCCCCCAACCCTCCCAGCCGTGGCCTGGGCTGTTTCCTCTGCCTGAAACGCTGCCCAGGATCCTGCATACCTGCTGCAGCTTTCCCCGGCAGGCCTCAGTCTCCTCTCCTGTGAAATGGGACAGCAACTTCCCAGGACAGCCCTGAGTCCCCGTGCCCGTGCCTGCAGCGGCTCTTTCTCTGCCCCCTCCCTGCCCCTCTGCTGTCCAAAACTGTCTCCTCCCACAACCCTGACCAGACTTGGCCTGTGACACTTGCTGTTCATTTCACAATGTTACCCTGGGGGAAGGGCATTCCTAACCACCTCATTTCTCACCCCCACCCCACCTCCCAGCCTCAGGAGAGGCACTGACCCAGGCTGATGGACACTCCCTCCCTGACGCAGTTAAACTGGTGAGCGGCTGGTTAATGCTGGGAGGCCGGGCTGAGGACAGCTAACCCAAGTGGGTCTGGATGACCTTGACCTTGACCTCTCCCCTCCCTGACCCCAGTCCCCTAAGCAGTCTGAGCCTGCAGGGTTCTGGGAAGGACAACAGTCTGCATAAACAAGCCCGGACTTTGTCTCCAGCGGCGGGTCAGAGCGATCAGGTTGACCAGTTGTCTGTGGAGATGAGAGATTGAAGACAGGGGACTGTCGATTAATTGGGGGTGGGCCAGGGGCGGGGCTGGGTCCAGGGGCAGGGCCAGGGCGGAAGAGCAAATAAATGTTGACAGAATAGTTATTTATTTATTTATTTTTATTCAGCTGGGACCCGTCAGAGGGTGCTGTCCACAGCATGGCATGAGTCAGGCCCAGGGAGCATCCCTCTGAGCGGGGTGGCTCCTCTCCCTCCTCCTGGGCTGCACCCCAGGACTCCGGGGCCCCAGCTGGAGTCCTCAGGCCTCTTCCTTGTCCTTAACCCGCTCGCAGGGATCCCAACCAGCCTCACGGCTTTAGCCACTGTTTATACTGTGGCCACTGCCACATTCGAGCTCCAGCCCTGCCTCCCTCCTCGCGGACTACACCTCCATGAGTCTCCACCACACCTTCAGCTGGACCAGACCAAAACAGAGCCCCCAAATCAACCAGTCCATGGTCCGTCCCACCGCCCTCTCCAGTCCTTCGGCCAAAACCTCAAAGTCCTTTGGCTCCTCTGTCTTTCATCCCCCACATGCAGTTCCGGAGCAAGTCCTGGGTCTGCGCCTCCAGAACACTGCAGGCCCATCCATCCTTGGCAGCCCCCTCCAGACCTTGGCTCACTGTCTACCCCGATGGCCCTGACCTCTGTCCTCCTGCACTCCAGCCTCTCTTACTCCCACACTCCAGGCTCCCCCAGCAGACAGAGGGGCCTTTAAAAAAAATTACGGATATATTTATTTATATATATATATATATATATATATATATATAATAAAATCACTCTTTTTAACCACACAATTCAGTGGCATTAATTATATTCTCAATGCTGTGCCACCAACATCATTATCTATTTCCAAAACTTTTTCATCACCCCGAACAGAAACTCTGTGCCTCTTATGCAAAATCTTCGTCTCCCCCTCCCCCCAGCCCGACAACCACTAACCTGCCCTCTGTCTCTATGGATCTGCCGGTTCTGGACTTTTCATATCGATAGGATCATACAACCCTGTGCTGACTTCTTTCACTCAGCATGTGTTTTCGAGTTCATCTAAGTTGTAGCATGTCAGAGCTTCCTCTTTATGACAGAGTAATAGTCCGCTGGATGGACCAGCTTTTGTTTATCCATCATCCAAAGACGGACACTGGGTTTCTCCACAGAGGGGTCTTGTCAAAGGCAATCTGGACAGATCGCTCCCCAGCTTAAACCCCTGCACCGACTCCGGTTCCACGGCCCATGAGGCCACACGTGCTCTGACTCCTGCCCCTCTCCCCGCAGGCTCCAGCCACCGGTTCCCACCACAAGGCCTTGCCTGTGTCTCCAGCTCCACATCCCTCAGATCTCAGCTCAGATGTGCACCCCTCAGAAGCGCGGACGGGCCTCCAACGCCCTGCATCACAGCACCCTGCAGTCTGTGCCTGCCCACCCGGTCCCCGCCATCCTGTAACCTCCTAGGTCGTTTCCCTCTTGGTAAAACGGGGATACCTCCCAGGATAGCCGAGCGATAAGGTGAATTCATTCACGTGAAACACTTAGGGCCGCACGTCTCTCCCAGGTGACTTTACCTGTGCAGCCGTGGATTGCGTTTGTACCCCCAGGAGAATGGAAGTTCCTGAGACCGTCTCCTGGCGCCTAGACATGCAGTAGGTCCTCAAACAAATATTTACCAAATGAACTAAGATGAGTGACAAAGGATGGTAGTGGGGGCAGCAGGAGACGGGGCATGTGCCCTGCAACCTGGGCCAAGCCTGGCCCACACTGGCTAGGCACCAATGCCTCAGGGGCACAAGTGTTCCCCAAGGGCTGCCCCGCTGCTCCTGAGGTCCCCTCCCTGGAAGCCCAGGAAGCCCCATGCACACCCAGAACCGGCCCCAGCTCAGGAGCTCAGCACTGCAGCTCCCGTTTCCTCCCTTCCTGGCCTGACTTCGTGCCCACCTTCCACCAGAGTTTCACTTGACACCCTGTGCCCACCTAGGTGGGAGGCCAGGTGTGGGTATGTGGGAGCCACCTTGGAGACCCAGGTCTGACCATCCCTGGGACCTTCAGAGGGGGTTATTTTGGATTGAATTTTATCCTCCTCCCAAAAAAGATATGCTCGAGTCCTATCCCCCAGAACTCAGGATGGGACCTTATTTAAAAGAAGTAATCAAGCCTGGCTGGTGTGGCTCAGTGGTTAAATATCAACCTGTGAACCAGGAGGTCCCGGTTCGGATTCCCAGGGCACAGGCCTGGGTTGCCGGCTCCATCCCCATTAGGGGGTATGCAGGAGGCAGCCAATCAATGATTCTCTCATCATTGATGTTTCTCTTTCTCCTTCTCCCTTCCTCTCTGAAATATATACATTTTTAAAAAGTAACCAAGTTACAATGAGGTCCTTAAGGTTGGCCCTAACCAGTAGGGCTGGTGAGGACACAGACATGTCCCTGGGAGACGCCCACGTGAAGACGGAGGCAGAGTCGGGGTGATGGTTCTACAAGCTAAGGGACACCAAGGACTGCGGCAGCCACCAGAAGCTGGGGAGAGGCCCGGGATCGATTCTAGCCTCAGAGCCCAGAAGGAACCATCTCTGACAACACCCCGATCTTGGACTTCCAGCCTCCAGAACTGTCAGACCACACATTTCTGCTATTAGAGCCGCCTAGTCTAGGGTACTCTGTCCTATCGGCCTAGGAAAGTCACACAGGGGTCAGGACACATGGCGGCGGGAGGCAGACAGGGGCAGGACCCTGGACTGTGCAACTTGGGGAACCTTTCCAAACTGCAGGGCGGTGGGGCTGCTGTGCTTGAGCCACC